GAAATTATATATATATATATATTAATATATAAAATAATAACAAAATATATTATATTATTTGATTGATTTTAATTTTTTATTTTTTTAATCAAGGTTCAAATTCCAAGGTATTTGGCACCCTATTAAGGGGTGCCATTAGCACTCCCCATAAGTTTTTATAATGTACCAACCATATACTTAAAATAATACATGTGACAAATTATAATCTTTGCATGCCCTCAAAAGAATATCGTACAAAAGAAATCTATTTATTATAATAAAATCGGGTCTATAAGACATTATCAATTTTAAAGCGTTTTAATATACTACTTTATAGAACTCCATTTATAGGACCAAAAAATAAATAATCATATCTTAAGACGTTGTAATAAGTTTATATGACGATTTTGATCTTCTTAACAAGTTTTTAGGACAATTTTAGTACAAAGTGTCGCATTATCTATTTTATAGGACACTATTTAAAAAAATGTCTTATAAAAACAAAGGTTTATAGGACAATTTTTTAAAGTGTCATATAAAATAGGTAATGAGACGTTTTGTATTAAAAATGTCCTAAAAACTTGTTAAGATGTCCAAAAACGTTTTATAAACTTATTAAAACGTCTTTAGATAAGACCCTTTATGTTTTGGTCTTATAAATTGAGTCTTACGAAACAGTCTATTAGGACGCTTTGAAATTGGTGGCATCCTTTAAACTTAATTTTATTGTAGTGATTGGAAATAAATCGTATTTCTTTTTAAAAAAATGTTTATTTTGTACCTCAAACCCTTCAAGAGGAGTGTCGTAATGTTGTGGATGGTTCACTCGCTCCTTGATTATATCTCGAAGATGTTTTGCGTATATGCTCATGAAATCAACTCGTGTGGGGGTCATTCGGAGTAACGTAGACACTTTTGTGAGACGATTAGCGTATTTATAGGCAGCTTTATCGCATATTTCCTCGACTTCCAATGACGTTAGCCCTCCTTTCTTCGTAAAGAATTTCAAACCATTTCGTGTGTATGGCAAGTGAGACGCCGTCATCTACGTACATAAAATATTATGTCAAAAGCAATCGCATAACGACTAGACTTTTAAAATAAAACAAAACTAGTATTAATATTAATTTACTTCAAAACATTTATAAGAATTGTACTTTTTCTTGATTAACCTGGATATCAAACCCGCTATACGAACCGACTATACGAACCGACTAATCCCAGGGCGACCACTCGCTTCGTGGGTAGCCCGGAGTCACCACATTTGAACCTCCATGGCCACAAGAGGATTTTTATTCCTTCTTGGATTTGAACCTGAGACCTCCTGACATTTTTGACCTTTGGAGCCCAAACTCAAACCAATCGGCCACCACCTTATGATTAATTATTAAAAACCCGTTTTATTTATGCAACAAAAAACAAAATTATTTTCCAATTTTAAGAAATAACTAAAATTAAAATAATTTTTATTTTAGTGGATAAAATTAAGGAATACATAATACCATTATGGAAGCATCGTATAAAAATGGTGGCAACACTGTGCTCATGAAACAAGCCGGTGTAGTGGCAAGTCCCATATCAAACGTCATGCAACCCGCCCGACCCAGACCCGAAAATATCGCCACACTCAATGACCCACCCGATATTCTCGGATCTCGCCCCAATGAAACCCGAATATCCTCCACTGGTCTTCCTTTCTCTTTCACCAATCCACTTATCACCCACTCTCCAAAACTCTCGGCAATGGCTTCCACCGCAGGTGGCGTAAGGTCCACCTTCCGACCTGCTTCTCCTTCCACAGCCACACCACGAACATCCGACCCGTTTTGAAGCCTCTTGATCCGACCCATCTCTTCATCCAACCCTGCCACGTCATTGTAGTTTGCAGTAGCTGAAAATTTTGGTGCAGTTAGAGTTAGGGTTAGTTTTGACGGGATGGAGAATGGGAAAGTGAGGGTTTTTAGGAGGGAATGGGATGAAGATGAAGATGAAGATGGAAAGTTGGGATTAATGGAAGAGTTGTTATTTAGAGAAGTTGAGGGGGGTAAAGTGTAAGACATTGTAATTTGTTTATGTGAAGAAACTGGTAGCTAGGGTTTGCAAAGGGGTTTCAAGATTTGGAAGAGATGAAGTTTAGACCAATCAAGAAATAAGGGAAGATAAGATTTTTTTTAAACTCAATATGCACCATAACCTTATTTTGTATTATCTTTATAACAAAAGAAATATCTGTAAACTAAATTCCAAATTCATCTCGAGGGCCTTTTGGTAATTTGCCTATTGTATGAGAATGAACTGGTTCTGGAAAACGAAGCTCGTGTCAAAATCGAACGAGCACAATTACTCATTGATATTTAAGTTGAAATGAAGATTAGAATGAGTCAGTAATTAAACGTTAGATATCATGTATATGTTAGTGGATGGGTGGTGGCATGCACTTGGTTCTTTAAATTGAAGTCAGATTATAAAGAAACAGCATATTCCAGAATATATATATATATATATATATATATATACATATATAGGGTTTCATTCAAGAGAGAACTGATTAGTTTATGATAATTGTGATATCCAATCTCAAACATAAATCAATGGATAAATTAGAAAACTAATATTTTAGTAATTTGACTTAAAATTATAATTAAATGGCATTTTAGGTTTTTTAAATTTTTTATCTCTCATCTCTATCCTATCTCCGGCTTCCGACGAACACCATGTAATACTCAAAATACACCAAGATACATAATGTGATACCCAAAAACATACCAAGTAAAACTTTGATACAACTGTGATATCAACTGTGGTACCACTGTGATACCAATTGTGGTACCACTATCGCAGGTGGTGTTTAGTCGTCGATCATCGAATATGGCGTCTTGGCCAGACAAGATAACGGAAGGAGGTCACTGGAGTGGTGGTGGGTGCCGGAGAAGGCCACCAAATTTGGTCCCTGTGTATCCATGTGTGTGTGTGTATATATATATATACACACATATATTAAAACAATTAAAGCAACTAAAGTAGACTGAAATATTAAACTAATTAAAGTAAATTGAATAATCAACACAATTTACTAATTTATCAATTGTTTTATTTTAGAAAATAACATTAATTATCTAAATGATTGGCTCATATTATCTCACAGCTAGTTATCACAAAATATTTAGTTCTTATTTGATTAAACCCCTACACACATATGTATATATATATATATATACTAGAAGAGTACTTGCGCAATGCAGTGAGACACATCTCGATTTTAATGTTCTATTTTATTCATTGTCTTTGTCGATGTTATAATACGATTTTATGCGTTTTAAAGAAAACAATAATGATTTTGTTTTTAAATAAAATATATATTTGAAGATATCATAAAAATTTGAAAAAAATTATATCAATTTTAATACCAGATCAACTATTTAAAAGTTTTCATTTTTATGTAATTTCTTTAATTTATTTTTTTATTATAATTTAATTTAAGTTTAATAATGAAATAATTTATTTTTGGTTTAATAATATAACATTTTATAAA